TCCCGGGGCAGCCCTCTGCCTGGCAGGGCTGCGCTACGCTGCTGAGCTCCCCCGGGGCTCCTCTCAGTCTCTTGGGCTTCCTCGGTGAAAGCTGCTAAGCTCAGCCTGTAGCTTGGGGGGTGCGAAGGAAACGGGGTGCTCTGGGGTAGCGCTGCCTCTGCTGCATGCTGTCCTCGAGTAGATAACGATCACTGTGCTGCGGCTCGCCCAGAGACTCAAAGAGCTCACGATTGGGAGTAGGACTGTGCAGTGCTCACTCTGTCTTCATGAAGTGCCTGTGGTCATGCTGGAAGGCCTCTGATAGGGGAGTTTTGGTCTGGAAAGCATTCTGGGGGGAGAACGGGGCTGGGCAGATGAGGCAACCTCGACAGAAATAATCTGCCCCCTCCATGGTACGTGGGTCAGTGGGTGCTGAGGTTTAGTGAGTTAACGGGAAATGCTTGCTTGCAGTTCAGTGCAAGTGTAAGCCAACGCGTTGCTGGACTTTGACCCACAAGCTCAGAATCATGTTGATCTCACTGTTGGCCGAGCGTTAGCTGCTCCCTGCGGCTCTAATGGCAGCCTCTCATTTTTTAGTTTCTCTTCCAACAAAACATAATGCAACTTTGCAGTCTTAACTGAGTCCATGACAGGAGTAACACATTCAAAAGGACGGTGGTCACCAAGTTCCCATTGCGTGTCCAGCTGCTTTGCCTGAGGAAGGCAAACCATCAGCTGCTGCGCTGGCACATGGGCCAGGTGCTGTAGGAGGGGGTCTTTGGAAAACAGCCACAACTGACTGTCAGGTGGGACAATTTCTGCTTAACGGTTAGATCAGATTAGAAAAGATCAAACCCCTTTCTGCAAAAAAAGGGAAACTGAAGTCCAAAGCTGTAAATGTAACTAGGAGTGTCTTTAGGGAAGAGAAACCACATGTTTCTGCTTTTCCTGTTCTTGTAAGAGCAAAGGATGCTTAACTTTTCTGATGAGTCTTCAAAACAAGTGTACTTACACTTGATGCCCCCTTTTCTTCCGAGACTTTTGCAAGCCAGCAGTGGCAATTGACATTCTAAATACCCATTCTTTCCAAGTCTTGATTTGCTCTCCCAGGGAGTCGTGGAAACAGGCTACCCTTCATCATCCCTCTCCTCCTGATTTCTGGGTGGTAAATAATCTCTGTAAAATCTGCTAATTTTAGACAAATCCGGTTTTTAGTTGCATCATTGTACTCTATGAAATAATTACGAAATAGAGACTGTGGCAATTCTTGTGTTACAGAACACAAGAACCTCTTCCAGTGAATGGGACACTCCCTCTAGGACCAAGTGTCTTTGGCTACCTTTCACCTTTCTTACATTCTTAATCAGCTGGTAAGATCTCCTTGAAGTGTGCGGGACACTTCATGTCTCTGAGAATACCATGGTTTTTTAGAAGCAGTTCTTGCTTGTGCAAACTCTGTGCTGCCCCATTGGTTCTTCTGGTACAGCTGCTTCTGAAGCCATGCGGGGAAACAGCAACAAGTGGATGTTTTTAACCCAGATCGGTTTCTTGTTCCTGTGTCTGGGCAGCTGGGGAAGAAGATGTTGCTTCATCACGCTTTGCGAACAGTATTCTGAAGAGCAGGCAGGTGCAGGAGGAATTTGATGTGTATTTGGCTGTCAGTCAAGGTGCTGCATGCGAGGAGCCACAGAAAGTAGCAGGGCATGTCTAACAGCCGGGAACACCTTCCTTGTGCTTGGAGATCTCTGATGGCCCCCCAGAAGGAGCAGGCAGATGCTGCAGGGAATGGAAACAGAGGGATACGAGTTCTTTACCCACCGTCTTAGAGTTACTGTGACTGCACTTAATGAAAATGCCTCATCTCAGGCACTGGCCACGTCTTTGGTTTCACCTGTTGATCCGGTTATGTGTCTGCACTCCAAACAAATATGATCACGGTTGCACATAATCTAACAATGTGAGAGAAACGCTTTAGTTCCAATGCTGTTCTGGCTCCCTACAGAGAAGCATCTCTATTTCAGGCCCGTATAAAATATACAGTTGCCAAAACAGTTGCTTATGCTTACACGAAATGTTTCCCTTGCATTTAAAAAGTTGAGTTCAGGTTTCGGGTGTGATTTGATGGAGAGGGACGAGGGGATTAACACAGAGGCAAGGTTGCCCAGTAGTATCTTCTGGAAAACAAACTTCTGAAAAAACAAAACACACCTGAAAGTCAAAAAAAAGAGAGTTAAGATACATATCATTCCTTCCATCTCATTCTCTACCTTGTCCCAAGCAGCCTTAATGATCTTCTTTCATAGAATCATAGAATGGTTTAGGTTGGAAAGGACCTTAAAGATCATCAAGTTCCAACCCCCCTGCCATGGGCAGGGACATCTCCCACTAGACCAGGTTGCCCAAGATGCTTTCACACTGCTGTTGAAGAGTGCTGTTTTCCAAACCCTTTTCAGTAGATTTTACTCCTACCTATGCTGCATTTAGTTACTTCTCCCTGTAAGAGCGTTGCACCTGTTCCAGAGCAGCCTTTCCCTCACTACCGTAGTCTCAGTACAACTTACCGTGTTTATTTCTAGCTCATGTTTATCTCTAGCTTTACTGAGGATGGTTCTTGAGACAAGAAGATCCAAGAGCCCTGTTTGTAGCTGTGACAAATAGCAGACCAGGTCTGTCGGGTGCACGTGCAGGCTTCCCAGGGAACAGGCACGGGAGCTTGGGAGAGGGGCTCATTCTTTCATGTCCCCAGTGGGGTGCTGGGCTTCCCACTCGCCCCGTGTCCCAGGTTCCTGCCAAGCTTCTCAGGCTCATTGCGCAGTGCTGTGATGTCTCTCCAGGGAAGCGCAGTTAGTGTGCTGAGAGGTGAAACCTGTTGGCTTGTCTCAGCTCCTGGGGCGGTGCTTCTCTTGTAATTTCTGATCTTCCAGGCATTTGATTTTTTGCTGAACCCCATCTTCTGGACTTAGAAGCAGCACCATGGAGCTATTCTGGTAACACCGTATTAAAGTTCCTGTTTCCCTCTTAATTTGCTTTTACAAAGGAAACCTAAAGACAACTGGAGCAGGGTGCAAGATGTGTCTCTTAATTGCATGCATTCATTTAAAAACAACCCCACAAACAAATTCGTATGTCAGAATCTCTCAAAGTTTCAAATAGTTTGGTATTGGGAATTATACACAAAGGTCTCTCTTCTCAAACTGCTCACAGGCCGTTCCTGCGGTGTGTGTTATTGGCACGCTCTGAAGAGGGAAGCACATTGTAGACCTCTTGGCTGTTTGCAGTGACAGCGATGAGCAGAGTTCAGGTTACGTTGATCAGGTGCCTCCATACAATCTGCCGTACTACCGTGTAAATTATATTGTGTTAGCATTTTCCTGTCTTTGCACTTAGCACCTTCATGTCCACAACATTTAAAGAAGATCAGCTTGGGTTCTTGCTCTTTAAATTGTGGTATATGCCAAGCTCTTTGGAGCTGGACAGCCAAAATAGTTATTAATGTGTTGTGAAACATTTATGAAAAATACTAAGCCCCGACTACAAATTCTGGGAATTGAGACCTTTTGGAAAAAAGAGTAGGATTAGAAGGTCTTGATTGCTGTCTCCCTGGTTCCACCGGCACCGCCTCCTATGATCTTTTCCATAAACAGATCAATTTTCATGTTAATAATAGATTATTTTTTTTTAATCCTTCACAGAATGGCAGCTGCAGGTAGGTTGCTCTACACTCACTTATTCTGAAGTTTAGCAAATTTTTTTAATTTCCAGCATAAAGGTATTAATTTGTTCTTAAGTCAGCATGGTCCTTCACCTTTGAGTTCTTCTCCTCTTCCATTGCTTAGTTCTCTCCTTCACCCTAATGCATATGTTCTTGTGTCCTCACTTCATCTTCATCTGCTCTGCCAATCAATCCGTGGTGGTTTCTCTTGCAGCATAGACTCTCCCCTGGCCATTCTAATCATTTTGCTGTGCCTTTTCAGGTTACTAGAATCAGATGCCTTATCTCAGATGAGATCTTCTGTCCTGCACAGTAATGCTGGTACTTCTCAATCCCACTGGAGAGTTTCCTGTGATCTTATTTGTCCCTTTTTTCAGACTTACTGTGTTGATAACGTACAGGCATCCAGAGATCAACCAATTCATCTGGGCTCTTCTGTTGAGCTCTGCTACTGGAAAGGGCTGACTGGAAGTTCTTGTTAATCATCTCTAAGTGCATCACCATGCAGCTTTGTATTTCCAGACTTCATTTGATTTCTATTATGTTGGTCTAGATGCTTCTCCAATTCTGTGTGGAAACTCTAGTCCCCCCTCCATTGACTGTACCTCCTGAAGGTCTGTGTACTTCAGAAGTCAGTTTGGATTCTTATCAAATGTGGACTGGTACTTGGATAAATTACAGCAATTTTAACTCGTTTCCAAAATGTCTCCAACTGGGAACACATTTCTGTTTTAATCAGAAAACCAAACAAAATCTAGTTATGCAGATGCAGCTGACATTAGTCTAACAGCCCTGTTCAACCCACTAGCTGATTTACAGACAGTTGTCTAATTACCTGGCAACACACATGTTCATGCTCAAGTGAATAGAACTAAGGTTCATTGAGTGTTCAACCTTTGATTCTCTACTTTGCTTAGTTTTGCATGCAAAATTATCACTCTGATAGTGAATTCACTCTGATGGTAGTAGTTAACTTTTTGGTGGGAAGGTGATGGGGAGGAAAGCAGAACATACATTTTTGTAAACACTGGCTTACTCTGGTAGTCCTTCATTAGTAATCCATGTTAGTTTGTAGCAGACCATTCTGACACTACTCATATCCCGCTCCTGCAGATGCTCTCTGTCGTACTGTGCAGCTGGTCTTTCCAAATAAAGAAAAGGATACAGAAAAGCATCCGTACGTGTTGTATAGCAGCAGAAGTAATTCTTAAAAGGAGTGTCCTCTTGCTTACTAACTTCAGAGCTGGCTTCTAGGCAAAAGGGATGGGGATTACAGCCCAGGGTGTCTGTAGCAGCTTCACTGAAAGACATGTGGGAAGATGCTCTGTGTACTGAACCGAATCTTTGTCCACTAGGTTTGAGAGCCCTGTGCAGGTTGGCAAACTGCAGGACCTTATCAACCGAAGTAAGATGGCGAGGTGTAGAGGACGATTTGTTTGCCCAGTCATTCTGTACAAGGGAAAGGTAAAGCTTCATGGGTTACCTGTCTTAACTTAGAGAATTACCTTTCTCCCTGCTGTTTGAAGTGTGCAGCCACATCTTCAGTCGGTTGTCACCTTTCTGAATGGTATAAAAATCTGTTCTTAGGTACAAGCAGGCAGCCTGTAGTAGTAGGTAGCATTTGCTATCTAGGCTGCCTAGGTCACGTGTGGGGGCTTCAGGCTAGTTTACCCCGCCATGTCACGAGCATTGCACCAAAGAGCTAACATTTTCTCCTTATGTATGTTCCTTCTGAAGGACCAAGGATATTTGGTCTTTGAGAGGGGAAAGACAACTGTTGTCACTTTCTGCTCCTTAGTCTTCCCAGCAGTGAATTCCCTTTGAATAACTTTTCTCTCTGAAGAGAAGTTTCCCTTTTCTGTTCCCTGGGGAGGGAAGATTGCATAAATGGTCTTATGAATGTGTGGGCTTGTCTGCAAGGGGATCTATAAGAAAGTAGAATTAGATGCTTTTTTATGTGGATTACTTAAACTGTATTGAAGTCCTGTAGGAGTAGTCTCATTTAGAATTTAAGTAGCTTGATTCGGTTTTCTTAGTTCAATTTAGAAACACTGTATGAATAGCAAAATCATACCTGTGACAAATTTTAATCTAGCTTGACTGAACCCATCATGGGCTGAACCTGCTGACCTTTTTCTGCAGGAGTGAACTGCCTGGAGTCATACTGGGACCACCTGTAATCCTATCCATAGGAATGTGGAAATAAGGCTCAAGCAGGGCATTAACAGAGGATGGATGTTGCTAACTTGGCAGGAATTGACTGTATTAGTGAATTGGAGAACTGGAGATGAAAATGTGACTTAAAGACTAGCTACAGATAAAAGCACTTGGGAGTTTGATGTTTTTGGAGAACTGTCTGGACCAGGGTTGCAGGGGAGACTGCTGAGAGGTGGTAGCTGTAGGTACGACCCATTTCTATATAATGGGACAGCAAATAGGCCAGAGACCTGATAAGGGAAAGACACCTGGAGCACGCGTGGTTAATAACAAAATCTTCCTCCAGCATATTTGCAGATCAGCAACGCTGGCCGGCTGGGGAGAGCTCTATGGGCGCACTGGCTACAACTATATCTTCTCAGGTGAGTGAGGGGCCATCTGGCCAGCTGCCCGGTTAGGCTGGGACCGTGTCCTAGACGCAAGACCAGGCTCTTTCTGAGAACGGGTGCTGAGCTCTGGCATGGGCCCACTTGTATCAGGCGTCACATAATAGGGCAAAGCCTGAAGTCTGTCCATTTCCAAGCCCCATACTACTGGACAGAGTGCCGTACCTTGTAAGAAGCAGCAGCAAAAGAACTTGAGGCTGAAGAATGAGTTACGGGAAGCATGTAGGCAAGTAAGGCAGCCCAAAGGAGTCAGGCTACTGATCCCCAAACATTGGGGATGGGAATAATGGAAGAAAGATGATAAGAACTTGCTATTGCTTGGCTAATCATTGGGAATGAAATCCTGCTACTGGTGAGACATAGCGGACTCTAGGGAAAGCTATCTGGGGGAGTATTGGGTGTCTGTAGCGTGGAAGCTGAAGCTTGGCTTAACAAAGCACTGCGTAGCACTATTGGGGTATCGTTCTGGCTGACAGCCATGGGTTTGGATCTACCTATGTCCTTTGCAATGACAAGGGAAAGGTGGGATACATTAGAAAATGGGCTGTTCAGGAAGAGAAAATGCAGGGAACTATTGAGAGCACTTATGTGTGGAGACAGGGCACCAAACCATGACCTTTTCAGGCACATGCATGTCTTGTCTGATTGGGGATTGAGTTGGTTTACTCAAATTTCGGTTCTTAATGCTTTCCTTGCAGGGGGTTCTGATGACGCTTGGGCAGATGCAGAAGACATTTCAGAGGAGGATTCTGCACTTAGGTTTGTGTGCATCACTGGGATAGGGAAAAGGCAGTTTGGACGAAAGCTGACTGGCTCAGCTACTCAGTTCTGCTCTTTGCTAGGCTGGGCTTTGGGTACAGGCTTGAGATCGTCACCAAGTCTTACTTCCCTTGCTTTTGAAAAGAAGTCTTGAATGCTAATGAACACTGAACCCAGTGTAACTGAAGCCTGCTAATCTATTGCCAGAGGGAAGGGCTGGAGACAGGAATATATAGCGCCATTTAAAAAGGTGTTTGAATTACATAGACATGTTTACTTCATCAAAAAGTAGATCTCCAGGCTGGTGAAATTGTTCTGTGTCTTACGTGCTTGTTGCAGAATGGAATGAGATGGGGGGAGGGACCCTAAACGTGAAGTTTGCAGTATGAGTTAATTGCAGAGTCTGACTCTGACACGTGGAGACAAGGCTTGTGCTGTGCAGCTTATGGCTAGAAGTGGTTCAGGAAAGAACTGTGGCAGTATTGTGCAAAAAATCAGACTCAATGTGGTCAGTCTGCCATGCTCATCTTGCTTTGCCTTGTTCTGTGTTGC